CTTATTTATGGACTGTCTGGGCATGCGAATCTTATACAGAGGAGTTATCTATAGAATTTCAGAAGTCTAAAGTACAATCCACCGGAAGCTTTTTAAGATCAATTTTCTTCACAGATTCTTCCCTCACCTCTGATGGAATAGATATGATGAATTATAGGCGATTATTTTTCTTAGTAGATCTTAAGTCACTCTTTCTGAGGAGTCAGTCAAAGTTTTCGGCTACATAATTGCTTTGTGAACATTATGGTTAGAGGCTAAGTAATAATTGACGTAACGACGTCGGCAAAATATTTCATAAAACATAGGGAATACCGCTCGAAATGAACCGAACACCAAAAAGTGTCCCTCACCTCTTGTCCTACGTCACCTTCCTAACCCATGAAAAATGGAATGCTCCTTTCTCATGAAAATTTACCTGAAGAAACATCTATTTAAAACCAGAGATCAATACTGTCACACATAAACTAAATCGTAGAACCACTTTTTCGAAACTTTACCGTATTTAGTCCTCTCAAAGGCTCACTATGATGAGAAGATCCCCGGTGAAAAGTAATACACTTAAAAACAATTTTCAAATTTCCTGGCTATTCGAGGTTAATAACAGAATGCTATCGATTGTACCAGCTAAACTCTTCCTAGTCCAAAACTGCTTCACTAAATTTGATGATGTAGCATTTACCTAAATGTGTATCCATTAAAATAGACATATTTTTAGGAAGTTATTATTCTTCATAAACTATTGTCTATGTATAGCTGTTTTGGAACCATTTAGTAATTTTTCATCAATCCCCAGGCGAACTTATTTGATAGTGGCCATCCATCAGCATGAGAGAACGATTAACTACTTCAAGATATTTTCTATGTTGAACATACCTTTTTTATTAGGCTCACTCAAATCCTCGGACACTTGATTGTGCAATGGCGAATAAGGGAACTGTGAGACTGCCGAACATTATATTTTGATCTATTTGTTCGCCTGGAACCTACAACCACTTAACCAAAATGCACACGAGCAAGAAACGCATGTTTTCTGTTTATGGTTTCTGCAACACCCACTCTCGATAACTTCAAGCAGTCTGCTAACTTCTGTCCACCTCTGATAAGAGAAATACCGGTGAATTTCGTCAGTTTGCTAGTCTCACGCAAAATAATGTTGGGATATACCCTCACGAAAAATCTCCTTTCAAAACTGTGTTCACTGACCATCGAATTACTCCATGTAAGCACACCATACCGCGTTCTAGCAACTCTGGCCCCTTTTACGAAGGCTAAAATCTCCTCAAGGTTTAGTTTCTTAACAGCGATGAAAGTCTTATAAGCCTCCTCTAACAACGTACTCTGTGGATTCAGCGGTAGAGGTAACACAATTATTTTCTAAATAGGCCTTACACCTTTTATCTAATTTATATCTCATTTGTTCGTGTTATACATACATTACATAGCTTGGCTACAGATTTGGTTAAGCCATCATATCAACATCAAACAGATTTGAAATTCAGAAAATGCACAATTATTTCAAGGGTAACTAAATGTTCTCTTCCACAAAGGTCACAAGAACATTTCCTCGTCCTGTCATAACCCCAATGGCAGAACAAAGAGATCTGGTGTGCAACGTGGACGCGATGACATTTTAGAAAAACATTTTAAAAACTGTACTCAGTGCAATACTAAAACACTGGCTCACTGGGACATCTGCACAAATGCATCGTCTTTTAATTCCATTGACTTCATTTGTTTAACAACTACTTGTGAAGCCTACTCTAAGTAAACTAATGTTGATCTATATCAAGCCTGTAAAAACGGCGTTTACCTGCCATAGCAGAAATGCATTATATTGTAATGTCACCAACTGTACACAAAGTATCACATCACGAATTTATTTATCTTCCGTGCTGCCCAGTAGTATTTAGAAACGAATGATTCAACAAGTACTATATTTCTAATCTCCTCCTAACTTGACACCTACCCTACTACCATATATAAGAAAATTGGTCAAAGTTTTCTTCAAAATCCCAATACCAATTTAGCTAACCCATCATCCTGAATTTCTGACAGATTCAGTTATTTCTCCAATGCAGGACTCTTTCCAAACTTTTTCACAAGCGAAAATCTACTTAACTATACCTTGGTAGAATTGAATGGACTACAGCTCGCACTATAAATGCTCAGATTATTATCACATTTGCCGTCTTTAAATTTTAAAAAACTAGAAATTTCCACCTAATTCAATGATATTAGTCAATATATCTAGGAATTCGACATAAATTATAGGGACCCAAAGTGCATCCAAAATCCAAAGAATCTGAAAAAAAAATTAAGGGGTACTTTTGTGATCCACAGTCCCATTTTAATCGTTTCTTGAAGAATGGGTGATTGATAAGATCGTAACTTTTACGAGAACAATTGGGAGATGAAAAATTCAAATTTCAAATTACCATTTTTTATTCATAATTTAAAAACTGTCAAAAAAGTGAAGGCAGGGTTAGAAAAGCACTTAACGATATTGGTCTACGTTATGGTAAATTGCCTCAATGAGAGCGTTAACAATAATCAGCAGTGTTTTTGTCAGCTTAATTCAGAAATAAACGGCAGTTTATCTCCGTGAATGTATGTCATAGCATATGCCTTTTACCCAATGTGACAGTGAATAACACAACCACTGAGATTCGGTTAAACACTCACAGGTTTTTTGCATACTTATGATAATGATCAGCAAGTGCGGCAATTAACCGTTCATCGCATTCAGGAGTTATCAGCTCCCTTGATTGCAAGACCTACATCCCATAAAATTTCCATAACCAGCCCATCTGTTTCCTCATCAATGGTTCCAGGTTTCATCAGGACCGATCTTAAATTCGTCAGTGCTGGAATGAACAAGTGATTGATCATGTTTTATTTGCCTACTGTTGTTGTCCAGAGAACTTGATATAATATGGCAAGTGAATGTTACAGTGTCACACGCACTAACAAATATAATACTACTGTGTTAACTCCTAAATGAATGATTCTACCCAAAATCAAAGATATTTACTGTCGTTTGTGCCTTCGTTTGTAAGTTTTTTTTCTGAATAAACGCAAATAATTTAAGTCTCACCTTTCACTTTACTACAACTTTGGTCTTAAGTTACTTTACGTCAACCGACTACGTTAAACTGGAGAACTGTCGATTAATGTCTCTTAGATATCCAACTTATAGTTAGAGAACTGTGGTGTTTGAGTGAACTAATGATTCCTTAGTACTTGTTGAATGCTTGATTTAGAATTGCAAATACAGTACATGCGCTCGTGTTTATCTAGTCCTCTTGATCCAATTGTGTTATTTCTGGGATTCTTAGTTCATACTATAATTCAAATACCTCTAATTATCATAAGAACCCATCTATTTGTGAAAAAGGTTAGTTATTTGTGTTAAATAAACAATGCAGAGACACCTAACCCCAAACATAGAGAACCACGCTCCCTAAACATTGAATGAAGAAGGAGCAATTTGCAGAGAATAAATTCGTAATTTTATTCACGACAATCTTACATCATTAGTAGTACATCACTTGCCATTCCGACAAAATTTGCTAAAAATATGATAGTATTTCTGCTCCATATTTGAGAAGTCTACATTTCCACGATGCGTCTACGAATTCACCATTTACCGAGACATTTCCCCGAAACAGTCTACCCACTGTATAAAAAGTTTACACCTCCTAATCACTAACACAGATGTCTCCTTCATTTTTCGATTTTGACATTCAATATAAAATAATAGGAAATATAATGCCTATAAGAATTAAGGAAGTGAATGAATACTCAAGCTACAATGTTCTGACATTACTAAGATGTTAAGTAGTCAACTCTTAACAATTCAATTTGAGTTGCTGCAAGCTTAGGCATCTAGCATTTATATAAGACAGTCAGTCAACTGTTTCCTGGTCCATTCACACAATACAGGACGATCACAAGCACAACAATTCATCATAATTAGTAATAACAAGTGATATCTTAAAAGGTACATACAAAATAACTTGTTTACCCCTCCTCGTTTGTGGTGTATATCAAATCAATGCATACCACTTCCGGATACTTTTCATGCAATCCAATCTCTCGACGAGCGGCCAAACAAAGTCAGTTCAGAATACGTGTTTTGAATAAAACTCTCTTACCTACTTATTGCGACCTAACACATTCAATAATTCATTTTGAGATAAGCCAGGCTGCAAATATTTAATGAGACACTTACTTTTAGCGACCTAAGACCAAAGGCTGCCTATGTTACTGATAGTGAATTTTTGTAAGATGGATCATTTAAATGTTGAACCACACCCTCAAACGTGGATGTTTGTTGCAGTGCAGGGTCTTATTATTCCCCAGAAGACAATCTCCTCGTATACTCACCATCATGTAAAGCAATTCGAATCATTGGGCTACAAACAAGACGCTTGGAATTACTTGTTGACATAAGGGTAAGCAGTTCGATGGTTTCGCGAAAAGGATGGGAACTTGTGGGTTTCTTTTACAACCCAATGCAAGTTTAAGTACACCAAACACATGCTTCTAACGTTTATTATGATTTCCTGTACTTTTGTATGAATAACTTAGCACACATAACCTGGATTTACAACATTTGGACTTCTTTTCTATGTTGAGACGCGTTTAAAGTACTTTAAAAAATTTTTCAACCGTAGATCCGTTAATAGATCGATATCTGTTAAAAAATAACGTAGGTTGGCAGGGTCTATATTGGTCACAAAATATGAAACAATACACGATACCTATAGTGATCTGTCAATAAAATTGTTCGTCAAAATATCTAGCTCGACCACACCACATATATACAAGAAAGACAAGGCACATGTACGGCATCAAATACAAAATCTCTGCTACTTGAGGTGCTCAAGGTCGTGATAACGACACAGTGGCAATTTCAACTAAGTGGTGACTTTTGCACCATTTTCAGTTAAAATACTTATTGGAAAGCCCTTTGAAGGAGTTTAACTCTCTAGAGCCTGATGTCTTTGATAAGCGAGGTCGGGTCCTGTATGTTGTTTTGGTCATTGTACCTTATTTCATAGCTTTGCGTAAATATGTTTTTGAAAAACTTTCCAAAACAACCGGATGGAAGGTTTTGATTATGGATGATGCTGCCACACGTGTATTATCATCATGTTTCAAGATGCAAGATATAACTGAGTACGGTGTAACTCGTAAGTTTGTCTATAGTTTATGTAAATACTGAATGTCTAGTTGTAGAATCTCTAAACTGCAAGCGTCAAAAACTAAATATGCATGCAATATATATCATGAGGCCCCGAAGAGCAGTAAGTCAGTCGGTCTCCGTAATTTTTCTCAAGGAAATAGAATTGCTTTTACAAGACTTTCCTGAATCAAATCCAACTTATTCCGCTGCGCATGTTTTCTTTTTGTCTTGTAAGTCAAGTACATTTTAATATGCACTGTCAATTTAGGTGATAAATTTTCTGATAATATGACGTAATTCCAGGTCGAGTTATGTGTTTTACTCTCAAAACAACAAAACAGTAGAAAAACATGGTCTAGGAGGTCTCACTAATTTTCTCGATTTGCAATACTACGGAAGTTTGATATTGGTTTGAAAAAGGTCGGCAGATGACACTAATTATTATTCATACTGAGCGTTTCAGTGATTTGTCGCTTGGCATGAGGACTAGGTTTCCTGTAAATAAATCTAATGGAGTATAATTTTTTAACCTAGTCGACTGTCTAAAGGTTTTTTTGTTGTTGATGGAAATGAAGATGAACACATATTTAGAATAAGAGCAAATATTTTTGTGTGGATTCCGTATAAATAGATACAGAACTTCGACAGTTTGGCGTGTTTTTTAAGTGAAATGTAGACGAATAGGCGTAGTTTCAGCGATATTCAAAACCTATCGAAGCAGAATAGGTAAACGTTTCGCTATTTCCTTACGGCATGCAAATAGGACTCACATTTCCTCATTATTGTCTTGAGGAATGTCTCGTTTGTATCTCCTTTTCGGTATGCCTGGAATTAACATTAGAACAATCTATTACTTTATGTCTGAGATCGCTCCTACCAATAACAAACTATCCGTAGGTCGTCATTTTAGTGAATCATTGAAGGTTGGAGACTTTGGATGACATGGCTCAGAGTCGATCACTATGATGTATGTGTATGCACTCTGTCTCATCCCTTAAACTATGAGATCAAAATAGATTTATATCTTTCCACGAACTAACTCTCTCTTCCTGTACTATATCCTTATATGCAACCTTCCTTTTATATATTACCACCATTAAATTAACTGCTTCTATGAATTTGTTCATCTTGTTGTGCTAGTGAGGTATGGCAACTTGGACTGCGTATATGTGCCTGGTCCTACGTTGTAGCTGGCTGACAATTATCGAATGAGAGACAAAGCTTTTTAATTATTTGCAGATAGTACTAATTGATTCGGTCTAGATACCAGGTTCATTTACCCAATTATATACAATGCTTTCTACATGAAGACTAATGACATATTCAAGCTGTTAAAAATGAAGTGGGTCAAGTAAATTTTGTACCTGAAACCTAGTAGCTAGAGCGATTGCATCAACAGCTTGCTCACCGCTACACGCTTGGCTAATTTGATCTCTATCTTACCAATATTTTCCAACGTGCCTGCTTTCATTATTAAAATAGGTTAACAACTCGATTCATGTATCCCAAACGAAGATTTAACTTAGTAATATCAATGAGCTGAGCATTGAGTTATTCTCATTGATAAAATAACATACATATCTTTAATATCCTTCATAGTGAGTAGAAAATTAGATCTCAACCTTTTACAATGTAGTGTAAGTCGCTCCATTATAGGACAAACGACTTTTCCCACTTATCCTGAGTCTATGTAATGAAAAAAGTAATTCTGGACAACTTTATACTCATCGGTAAACTAAAAGCGTTTTGTTTTTATGAATGTAAATTACTTTATTTAAAAGGTATAAATCATCACTTTTTGGTTGCTTGCAAATGTTTTTATTGTGACAGAGCCTCTGTTCACAATTGTAATTAGGGCTTCAGACTGAATTACAAGGGCTCCACACGTCGGTAGTGAAAAAAAGCGGGATTATTCGTAGTCTGGTATGTTAACAAACACCATCAGCACATCACATGGGAGATGAAGAATAACGACAGTATATACAATTTTAAAACGTTTTTGATTTAAATAACCCAACTTAAGTGTAATTGAAAGACAATAGTAGTCTTGATCGGTGTATACTTTTGGTGCACAATATAGTATTAAACGCTGAAGCAATTTCGTATTCGGTGGGAGCATTCAACTTTCGACCAGGCGGTGACTCGAGATCGTTTAGATAGGACCGAGTTTCCACCATGGGCAAGCTGCTGTATAAGTTGGAAAATGGGGATATATGAAGTGAGAATAAAAAGTGAAGAGCGATGTAGCATATAGAAAACAGTAATAATAATGAAGATGAAAATGAAATGTCTGAGTTCTGATCGGAGCGAGCATAGTCTTTTGTGAAATATTTGTCATTTCACCACATTTGTGTGAGGGCTAGGATACTACCCGGGTGCCCAAACCGAAGCAGGTAGTTTTCTTAGGGAGCCACACCTGGAGCCTTTGACCTAAAGGTCTGATCCACAAGGCCATCGAGCAACGTCACGAGGTGCAATCTCATGGTAGCCTGTGACCAACGATCAGTTCGTACGCCATTTGTTCCCTCATGATCCTGGAGCCCATGTACACCATTGGTTTTGAATCAGGGTTTCCCAACTACCCTAGGTGGACTCTCCATGTCCACCGACCAGGTTAAAGCGCTGGAGTTTCGCATTTCCTCCTCTCAATTTCGTAAACAACACTCGCTCCACGAGAAGTCAGTGAGTAGGACTTTTCTGGTACGAACTATATACGCGTGGCCATATGAGAGCATTTCGAGAGAGGAAGCGGACTTTCCCCACTTTCGATCGTAACAGGGTCTTTGGGGGTTTCACGTCGTTCCTGTAACAACTATCTGAAGATAAGTCTACTTCCGATTGCGTCCAAGCTATCGGCTTCCGTCATACTTCGTAGGTTGTTCAAAACCCGAGAAAGATTGACTCGCGAGGAGCAGGCTGATTTTCGTTCTGGTCGGGGATGTGTCGATCGTATCTTTACCCTCCGCCAAATGTTAAAACACCGTCATACTTACCACCGACCAACAATCGTAGTGTTTTTTGACATCAAGGTTGCCTTCGATTCATTAAACAGGACTGCTCTCTGGGATTGTCTATTGAAGAAGGGTGTGCCTAAAAGCCCTATATACAAACACCTTAGGTAGAGTGAGGACATATAACCACCTCTCTCCGCTGTTCCACTCAAGCAGTGGGGTTAGACAGGGTTGCCCAATATCATCATCCCTCTTGAACTTTGCCATCGATGATATTCTGGAAGCAGCTCTGATGGATGTAAGTAATGGCGGTGTGGATCTGTTGCCTGGAGAAAGACTTCTCGACCTTGAGTATGTGGATGATATTGTCTTACTGTGCGATAACGGCCAAGCCATGCAATCCGCACTTAATCAGTTGGCAATTAGTGTCCATAGGTACGGTATGTGCTGCGCATCTTCTAAGTGCAAAGTACTTTTACAAGGCTGGTAGGACCCTGATCCTGTACTCATCCTGGATGGTGAGCAGATAGAAGTAGTCGATAAGTCCGTGTATCTAGGTAGCTGCATAAGTGCTGGTGATGGCGTGAGTGATGAGATTAATGCAAGTATAGTGAAAGCCAGAGCGGCTTATGCCAATCTGAGTCATCTTTGGCGCCTTCATGATGTCAGTCTGACTGTAAAAGGTCGGATCTACAACGCGTCGGTGAGAGCAGTTCTGCTCTATGCTTGTAAAACATGGCCTCATCGAGTTGAGGATGTTAGACGACTCTCTGTGTTTGGTCATCGTTGTCTCCGAAGGATTACTGACATCCAGTGGTAACACCATGTTAGTAATGCAGAGGTTCGGCATCGTGTGTTCGGGCGCAGAGACGATAATCCAATTGGTGTCACTATCTTGAAAAATCGACTTCGGTGGCTTGGACATGTTCTATGAATGTCGTCCCAGAGAATTCCTCGTAGTATCCTGGTTGGAAAAAGCGGAGAGGTGGTCAGTGTATGACATGGTGTCGTGGTATGAAAGAAAGCTGCACAGGACTGGCTTCTGTTGGCTCTTCACGACTCCCTGGTTGGGGTTCGAGAGATGGTGCGAAACAGTGGCTAGTGACGTTATCAGATATGGCTGAGAATAGAAGCCAGTGGCGATCTTGCTGTAACCTTCCTTTACTTTCTTCATAAAAAGTGACTGTATCTTTAAGTGAAAGTACTTTTCTGTTTCCCCCATTATTATTATTATTATTATTATTATTATTATTATTATTATTATTATTATTATTTCAATACCATACAGTAGCTTGTGGTCGTTATTGTTTGTTTTCTTTTTCTTTTTACACGCTCCTTACCTTCCTTTTTTTCTCTTCCTACTCTCATTATTATTGTGTGGTGCCCCTTTGTACCAATATTTATGTGTTCAAATAAATAACAAATAATTTGAAAAAATTACTTTGGGTACCCTATGACATACTCTCAAATGGAACACTACAAAACAATATCCCACTTAACATTTATTACTGCTACTGAATCAGAGTCATGTAAATTAATGTTATGCACAATATTTATAAAAGGTGTATATCAGCTCATAATAGTTACTCTGGTGGAGTTTTAGTTGTTCTGGTCTTATATCTTTGTCGTTTGTTCCAATCGAATGGTTAGAAATGAAATCAAAAATACAAATGCATTATTGTAAAAAACATTTTTGGACTGATTTTTTGAATGTTTCTCTCCCTAATTTTCAACTTTACACTTATTTTTTAATAAAGATATATTTCGTTTGCCTTGCGTCTTGCTTCTGACGTGTTTTCATACTTTCATTTCGATAAGACAAATGAAACAAACAATACAGAAGCGATCATAGCAACCCATAGGCGGTTATCACCGCTGTTGCTAAACAACGATAAACGTTATCCTTTTGATGTACTAGGCAATAGTCCTCTCTGAATTACACGATGGCTGTGAGTTACGGTCGATGAGAGTGCAAGAAATGCGTGAACTGCATGATTTTGGTTGTAGCTGTTTCCAAATCATTACTCGCGTATCATGGAACGATAGAGTGAGCAATGCAAAGGCTAGACGTACGTCACTAGGCCAATATGGTAAATCGGCTTACGAGGCTGCGATTCTTCTACCTGAGGTTTCTGGGTCATATGTTACCAATTCACGAAACCATTGATTATTGGACTGAACCATGTTGATAGGTACAGAATATCTGGTTGAGGTCTGCATAGTACTATTTCCCTATATTATCTTTCTATACATAGTTCCCCATAACTACTATCGTTATCATTTTTGTTGCTTCTTTTCTCTTTTCGACTTTCATGGCTGTTGTTTCATGGCTATACTGTGTATTACTTTTGATTAGAAAGCAATGTACACATGTAAGTTAGAGAATCACTTATATCTTTCTTATCCTTAAGATTTATAATCTTTTAAATATGAGATTAAGGGCTTATTTGGATTTCTATTTCCAGCTTGTCCGAACGATTTGCTTAATCAGATAATTGCTTCACAAGCAGTCCGACGTATTATGAATATGATTCAATTGTCGGTGGATTTTATTCCCTTGGAATCTCATCTGTATTCACTAGAAGCCACGGAAAGTGCTCAACTTTACTTTTTGCCATCAGATATTGTTCATGACAAACTCAGTCGAATCGACCAGATTGCAGAACAACTTGCTTCTGTTTGCATAACTTTGCAAGAGTATCCAAAAATTTGTTACCAAAAGTAAGCGCACTATATGGACTTAATTTTGTTTGTACAAGCTTGTCTCTCTGGTTTTAGTCATAATCCTCAGTTTTTATAGTGATCACTCATTACATAGTTCAAAGTTTTTTTTACCAAATAACCTTTCGATGCCATTAACATTCAACCAATAAGGAGTCCTCCAGAAAATTATTATTATTTTTTCAACCTTAGTGTTAACGGACCCGGTACTGCTCTAACCAGTTCAAGTCATCCTCTAAGTGTCACATTGTAGAGGTGTCTAATTTTCCGAATGTGGGTATGATATTCTTTGTGTATGCTGATCTAACATCTTCATTCATTGTTGCCAACAGTATAGAATAATCTCTGAGCAGATATAGTAAAGAGATATAAAGCTAACTACTAGTGATGATATGATCAAGACGGCCTAGTTGAGATCTTTGGTAATATTTGGTGTACCTTCTAAAAAGGTTCTTGACTTGTTTTAGGACTCATATGGTCGGGCCGTTTATTATCGGAACAGTTGTATTCTCTAGTCCAATTATTGACATTCGCTTATATTCCTTGTAGGCCCGATGACACGGGGACCAATGAACAGCGACCGAGACCTTATCACCTATTTGTCCTCGAGCTCTTTCCAACTCAGTATCTGATTACAAGATGAAGTTAGCAAGGAAATATCTCTTTGGAATCATGAGCCGATTTAAGTTGGAACGCCATCAAAAAGCTGAAAAAATTGGATGGCCGCTTCATCCTAGTATTGGACCTTCCCAGCAGTGTACATCCACGATTCCGCACGCAGGAATCTAACGCAGGACCTTATGTTTCGTGTGCGAACGCCTAGTTTCTAAACCACTGAGCTGGTATCAAACGGTGTTAGTGACTAGCGAGAAGATGCGAACAGTGGAGCCAATCCGTGTCGAGTGTGAGGCAGTTACCCGCTAGGGACAGTGAAAGATGGTCGCACTGTGTCGTGAATTGTCTGAAGTTAGACATCAACACCGATGGATGCCAGCTCAGTGGTTTAGAAGTTAAGTGTTTGCACACGAGATCTAGGATCCTGGGTCCGGTTCCTTTGTGTGGGGTCGGATGTGCACTGATGAAGAATCCCATACTAGAACGAAGCGGCCGTCCAATGCTCCCGGGTTCTTAGTGATGGTCTGATATTGATCGCTTAACGATTCCCTTTAAGTACAATGATCTTTACAACCACATACTGAGAATATACCTATTGTTCTCCATTCTTCATGACTCATACAATGATATACCTTATCGCACAACAGCACAAACAGGAAATTACGATGTATACACAGCTCATCCATAAGTAATACAAAAACGGAAGGATAAGAAAATAATCACTGATAAGTTTGGGACATTAATATGTATAACAACAGTTTGCTGCTCAGATGAAAGCTTACAAATAGGAGGATATAAAGATACAGAAATCCAAGCGACGTATTGTCATGCAATAAAAGTGTAAATAATAATCTTCCGTAGGATAGTTCTGAAAGTTCATCTGTTCCCAGATGCTCTTTAGTGTGATTGGTTTAAACAACACATCATATACGCAGGCATGGGATGGTCTTAGTTATTCGAGATCTGTAGTGTTATGTTTTTCTATCTACCTGTTTCTAATTTGGTTATCTCTTCCAGCCAGATTGTTTATTTTATTTATTTATTTATTTAAACACATAAATATTGGTACAAGGGAGCACCAAATATATATATATGCGCCACACAAAATAATGATAATGGGAAGAGAAAAAAAGGAAGGCAAGGAGCGTGTAAAAAGAAAAAGAAAACAAACAATAACGACCACAAGCTACTGTATGGTATTGAAATAATAATAATAATAATAATAATAATAATAATAATAATAATAATAATAATGGGGGAAACAGAAAAGTACTTTCACTTAAAGATACAGTCACTTTTTATGAAGAAAGTAAAGGAAGGTTACAGCAAGATCGCCACTGGCTTCTATTCTCAGCCATATCTGATAACGTCACTAGCCACTGTTTCGCACCATCTCTCGAACCCCAACCAGGGAGTCGTGAAGAGCCAACAGAAGCCAGTCCTGTGCAGCTTTCTTTCATACCACGACACCATGTCATACACTGACCACCTCTCCGCTTTTTCCAACCAGGATACTACGAGGAATTCTCTGGGACGACATTCATAGAACATGTCCAAGCCACCGAAGTCGATTTTTCAAGATAGTGACACCAATTGGATTATCGTCTCTGCGCCCGAACACACGATGCCGAACCTCTGCATTACTAACATGGTGTTACCACTGGATGTCAGTAATCCTTCGGAGACAACGATGACCAAACACAGAGAGTCGTCTAACATCCTCAACTCGATGAGGCCATGTTTTACAAGCATAGAGCAGAACTGCTCTCACCGACGCGTTGTAGATCCGACCTTTTACAGTCAGACTGACATCATGAAGGCGCCAAAGATGACTCAGATTGGCATAAGCCGCTCTGGCTTTCACTATACTTGCATTAATCTCATCACTCACGCCATCACCAGCACTTATGCAGCTACCTAGATACACGGACTTATCGACTACTTCTATCTGCTCACCATCCAGGATGAGTACAGGATCAGGGTCCTACCAGCCTTGTAAAAGTACTTTGCACTTAGAAGATGCGCAGCACATACCGTACCTATGGACACTAATTGCCAACTGATTAAGTGCGGATTGCATGGCTTGGCCGTTATCACACTTACTTACTTACTTACTTACTTACTTACGCCTGTTACTCCTCGTGAAGGAGCATAGGCCGCCCACCTGCATTCTCCATCCAACCCTGTCCTGGGCAATCCTTTCTAGCTCCGTCCAGTTGTAATTCATCGTTTTCATATCTGCTTCTATTATCCGACGCAATGTGTTCTTTGGCCTTCCTCTTTTTCGCTTCCCCTCAGGATTCCAAGTTAGGGCTTGCCTCGTGATGCAGTTTGACGATTTGCGTAATGTATGTCCTATCCATTTCCATCGTCGTTTCCTAATTTCTTCTTCAGCTGGAAGTTGGTTTGTTCTCTCCCACAGTAAGCTGTTGCTGATGGTATCCGGCCAATGGATGTTGAGTATCTTGCGTAGACAGTTATTTATAAATACTTGTACTTTCTTGATTGTGGTTGTAGTTCTCCAAGTTTCAGCTCCATACAGTAGAACTGCCTTGACGTTGGTATTGAAGATTCTTACTTTGATATTGGTTGAAAGTTGTTTTGAGTTCCATATGTTCTTCAATTGTAGGAATGCGGCCCTTGCTTTGCCGATCCTCGCTTTTACGTCTGCATCGGATCCTCCTTGTTCATCAATGATGCTTCCCAGGTATGTGAAGGACTCTACATCTTCCAGAGTTTCGCCATCAAGTGTGATTAGATTGCTGTTCTCCGCTTTGAATTTGAGGACCTTAGTTTTCCCTTTGTGTATGCTGAGGCCTACTGATGCAGAGACTGCTGCTACACTGGCTGTCTTCATCTGCATCTGTTCGTGTGTACGTGATAGGAGGGCTAAGTCATCTGCGAAGTCCAAATCGTCTAATTGATTCTGAGCTGTCCATTGTATTCCGTGTTTTCCTTCAGATGTTGAGGTCTTCAAAATCCAGTCGACCACCAGAAGAAAGAGCTCTTCGAAGTATTCTACCCATCTGTTACGCTGTTGTTGAATTTCGGTGATTGGCTTGCCTTCTTTGTCTTTGACCGGCCTCTCTGGTTTACTGTATTTCCCTGATAGTTTCTTCGTTGTATCGTAAAGCTGTTTCATATTTCCTTCTCTAGCAGCTTTTTCTGCAGTCGTTTCTGATTCTTCCACGTATTTCTTCTTGTCGGCTCTAATGCTCCTCTTCACTTGTTTGTTTGCTTCTATGTATTCAGCTTGTGCTTGGACTTTCTCTGCTCGTGTTCGGCTGTTGTTTATTGCTGCCTTCTTGTTCTTCCTTTCTTTGATCTTGTCCAGTGTTTCTGTAGAGATACATTCCTTATGATGGTATTTCTTTAGACCGAGAACCTCTTGACACGTTGAAGTTAATGCTTCCTTGATGCCTTTCCAGTTGTCCTCCGTAGTAGTTTCTTCTTCTTTCAGTAGATCTTGTAAGGCTTGGAACCTGTTGTTGAGAGCTATCTTGAATTCATTGAGTTTGACAGTATCTCGAAGGAAGGCTGTATTGAACCTTTGTATTGCTGTTTGTCCACTTGTCCAGTTCTTTTTTAGCTTCAGTTTCAAATTGGCTACAACTAGGTGGTGATCTGAAGCTACGTCAGCACCTCTCCTGGTTCTCACATCTTCCATTGTCCTTCGGAATTTTTTGTTGATGCAAATATGATCTATTTGGTTCTCTGTAGTGTAGTCCGGTGAAATCCATGTAGCCTTGTGTATACGCTTGTGTGGAAATATTGTGCCTCCTATGACCAATTTGTTGAATGCACATAGATTTGCAAATCTTTCTCCATTTTCGTTTCTTTCTCCCAGTCCATGTCGTCCCATAATATCTTCATATCCAGTGTTGTCTATTCCGACTTTGGCATTTAGATCTCCCATCAGAATAGTTAGGTCCTTTCTTGGGCATTTCTCAATGATTGACTGCAGCCGCTCGTAGAACTGATCTTTAATTTCGTCGTTGCTATCATTGCTGGGTGCATAACATTGGATAATATTCATTGTGATCCCCTCCTTCTTTGTTTTGAATGATGCTTTGATGATTCTGGATCCGTGAGATTCCCATCCTACAAGTGCATTTCGTGCTACTTTGGACAGCATAAGAGCGACTCCCTGAGTGTGTGGAGCATTGTCCTCTTCGTGACCGGAGTATAGCAGCATCTCTCCCGTAGCTAGCCTTTTCTGTCCAGTTTGCGTCCAGTGGGTTTCGCTGATTCCCAGTACTGCTAAGTTTTATCTCCTCATTTCCATTGATATTTGACTGGTCTTCCCGGTTTCCCACATTGTTCGAACGTTCCATGTACCTATAAAAATTTTTGCTCTGGTTGTTAGAAGGGGCATCGGCCTCGTGGCTTCCGAAGGAACTCGGCTTTCTCCATGAAGCGTCATAATTCTTCTAAATGAAGACCTTCTAACCCCCAGGGCAGAGTTAAAATGGTTTGGATTATTTTTTCTGGTAAGCGTTTTTTTAGCGAGTTGGTTTTCTACGGGATGGGGACGCTAACCCCATGCCCAACCCTCCTCCTTTACCCGGGCTTGGGACCGGCAGCAACCCTATAAGAGCTACAGACAATATCATCCACATACTCAAGGTCGAGAAGTCTTTCTCCAGGCAACAGATCCACACCGCCATTACTTACATCCATCAGAGCTGCTTCCAGAATATCATCGATGGCAAAGTTCAAGAGGGATGATGATATTGGGCAACCCTGTCTAACCCCACTGCTTGAGTGGAACAGCGGAGAGAGGTGGTTATATGTCCTCACTCTACCTAAGGTGTTTGTATATAGGGCTTTTAGGCACACCCTTCTTCAATAGACAATCCCAGAGAGCAGTCCTGTTTAATGAATCGAAGGCAACCTTGATGTCAAAAAACACTACGATTGTTGGTCGGTGGTAAGTATTGGTAAGATTGGTAAGATTAGCTCAGACCAGGGCACGATCAGAGTCCAGATAGGTACTCCAAAAAGAGCGGTTGTCTTGTACACATCCACGCCAGGGTTAGCTAATCGCGGTGTGATCAATCTGAGTCTAGGCTTGAGATGCAGAGGGAGGACACCAGGTGGCACATCGGCGAAAGTTAGTGCTATCCAGAAACAGGTTGTGGTCTGTGCACAGTTGCAGTAGACGGTCCCCGTTATCTCTCCTGCGTCCAACAATTCCCCATCGGCCACTCAATCGACTCTCCTCTATGCTTAGACGCACGACCTGAGCATTCAATTCTCCGGCTAGTACTACAATATCTGTCGAACGCACTTTCTGGAGAAGAACAGTTAACTGGTTGTAGAATTCATCTTTGGTTGCATCTGGGCTGCAATCTGTCGGGGTATAAGCGGAGATGACGAAAAGACATAGCTTCTCACGCCGATTTCTTCTCACTTTGATGGAACTTTCTAATCTAACAGCACATAACAGACTGTTAATGGGGATCCAATCGATTAGTGCTGCCTCAGCTCTAGCGCTTAGTGCGACACCAACACCAGCAAGACCAGTCGAAGATGTCACATGGTCCCCGGATAAAAGAAGCTTTTCGAAGCGACAGAAGGAGAGCGAATTTGTAGTACTTCACTGGAGTCTTGAATACGGGTCTCGGATAGACAACAGATGTCGATATTAAGACTTTCCAAATACATAGCCAGCCCTATCTGTTGTCCGACCCACATACGTGTGCGAATGTTAAAGGCAGCCAGTTTGAATGATGCATGTGGTTTCAGAAAAACTGCTTCCGTATTCGTATTTGGTGGTAGCATACAATTTTCAACCAGTTAGTGACTCGAGAACGTTTGGATAGAACCGAGTTTCCACCATAGGCGAGCTGCTCTATAAGTCGAAAATAAGGATACACAATGTGGGAATAAAAGGGAGTGAATAAGGGACGTGGTAAATAATAACAATAATAATAATTTGAATTCTTTGACTGTTAATCAAAGCGTGAATAGAATTTTCAGTGAATATCGTCATTTTCATTTTATTTGTGTGTGGGCTGTGATACTGCCCGGGCGCCCAGACCGAAGCAGGTGGTTTTCTTGGGGGACCATACCCCGAGCCTTTGACCTAGAGGTCTAATCCACAAGGCAGTGGAGCAACATCACAAGATGCAGTCTCATGGTAGCCGGTGACCAACGATTGGTTCATACACCATTTGTTCCCTCAGAATCCTGGAGCCCATGTGTACCATTGGTTTGGGATCCGGTTAAAGCGCCGGACATTCGCTTTTCGTCTCATTTTCGTAAACAACACCCGCGCCACGAGAAGGCATTGAGTAGGACCTCATTGGCAGAGGCTGTATATGCGTGGCCGTGTGAGAGCATTTTGAGAGGGCGGGCGGCCCCACTCCACTCTCAGTCATACCAGGGCCTTTGTGGGCGGTCAGATTGTTTAGGATATAACAGACGGACATATGATGTAAGCTAACAGTTTAAAAGTGATTGGGAACAGATGTGTGCTCCAGTAACTGTTGCAGGTTTTGTGTGGGCCAACTTCAACGAAAAAAACGATAATTACTTCATTCCAAGACGACAAGGTTATCAAGATCAATATCAATGTAGTATTACCACTGATGGAAAAATGAGTGAAGATCGAGAGTGCAATTCAAAAAGAAAAAGTGAACTGCGGGGATTTACATTTGGTGTGGTTTCGCTCTCTTATTTTGAAGTACAGAAGCTTCAATCGATGTTCAGTTGTACTATCTTGATTTTCTCAGATTCTTTGGATGAGTTAGTGTAGTTATAATTAAGCAGTACAGCCGTCGGAATCTAGTCATATATATTCTTTATTTTGAATGGTAGTTTATTTTATTCCCCGAATTTTACAGGACAGAGAGTAACCTCGAATTGGCCCGTCTTGTGCAAGTGAAGTTAGATACCTATAAGAGCGATAACCCGATTTTGGGTCAGGTGAGTTTTGAATTTCTAATTTTGTTGTGTTACGACATGTGATTAACATTCATAACCGCATCATCTACAAGCAACTTGATAAAGCACACAAGTTGGTTTGACTGAGGATAGCAAGAGGTCTATTTTTCTATGGAAACACATAGAGTTATTTTATACCTTTGAAGGAGGTCCTCTTTTGCCTACGTCTGGTTGTTGTTCCGATAAAAGTGGAAATAAACCTGATGTAAACATAAAAATGAAGTTATGACAAACACCGGATGCTACTTTTTGGAACGTTACTTCGCTTAATTCAAAGCTTATAAAACACTAACATATAGTTTTGTCCCTAGACTGTTCCATAAACCATAAGCTTTATTTTGATGTATGAACCACCGTCATCTCCCTTTATGTTCCAAAGCTATTGTAATTTAAACGTAACATTTTGTAGTCTACTTTTCCTACCCCTAATGCCCAGTTTAGAAATAATTGTATTTTTCTGGTTGTTTGTGCGTTGTAGACTTGTTAGTCATATATTTATTCATGTTTATTTTTACACTAATCTGAATCAGGAATTAATCTGACTCTTCTCTCTCGCTTGTCGACCAGTCAAGCGATATAATAGTTTTCGTCCCTCTGCCTAAGGCCGTTAGCCTCAATTCGAACTCACGCATTTCTAGTATCAAGGTTGAACCAGTTAACCTATCGTGATAAGTCCTTAACCTATATGGAGACAAGTCCTCTCCTGTATGTTGTTGGGTAGACAGATCAAGGACGTAACAGAACTGCTTCAGTCGGTAACGAGGGTTTACCTAGGGGAGTCGGAGAGTCACGATTCCAGACAACTGATTTATTAGAACTACAGAGGATTTCAGAAATGCTATTGGTTTTAATTCCGGTAGAATTGGTTACTTATCAGGTTCCCCTTCGTTCGACCATTCCCAAATTGTGAACTTAAATGCTTGTCTTAGAAAGCCGTTTGTTTTTTTTGGGTTCATAAAATATTTATTTCCATTTGAGAAGTTGGTTTTTAAATAACTAACAGATTTTTAGATGATACCATAAACCTTCAGTTTGCGTCATTCATCGGTAACAAAAAGCTCTACCAGTCTAACGACTAACAATACGAAGAATTGATTTAAATTCTAATCTAGCTTCATTATAAATGACAAGTGTTTAATAATCTAAATTTTTTAAAGGTGATTTTATGGTGGTTTATATTGTTTTTGGTAGCATTTTCCTCGCTAAAATCTGTCATTCCTGTGATTTATAACTTGAATGTTTTATAATTCGAGGGTTTATTCAGTATCGTCGTTACAGCAAAACAATATCCATGCAGTTATTATTCATGAAAATGTTTTTATTGGAAATAACAATAACTGTGTTTGTTATTTTTCCAGCAAACGTCTTATGTATTATGGTTCGTTTCTTAGCTTAATTTATTTCGAAGTGAAAAGTATCCATAAACTTGATCAAACCTTCTATTTTGTAAGCTTGAACTTTCCTTCTTTCCTCTCTCTCTTTCTCACGCTTCAGGGCTCACATAAAGATCAAAGTCTTTTGTTGATTGTTGACCGAAGTTTGGATCCCGTTACTCCTCTTTTGCATGAATTGACATTACAGGCTATGTGCTATGATTTGCTCACTGTGGAGGAAAACACAATCGAGTAAGTTTTCAAGATTGATTTATTCCCTATTTGTCCGCGTATACTTTTGACTCCTAAAGATTGTCACAAATTGGAAAGGAAAAATCATAATCAACATGAAGCCTAGCATAAATGGTAGTCAACCGGAGTTGCCATCATCACATCAGCATGGTGATGTGAAATGAACAGGATGTATTGTAAAGTAGTAGGAATTATAGTAGTATCAGTGATGGTAAAAAGACTAAACACTGAGAATATTGCTGGAATAGGAGATATGACTATATATGTGGAGGAATATTGAAACTGAATATCTAATGGAAACAAAGAGTCAATGCGTCTGAGCCACTACGATTGATTTTAAGCCATTTCAACCACTGAATATGGTTACTGTGCGGACCCCAATCAGATATTCTGTACATATCAACATTGCTCAGTCTAATAGTCAATGGCTTCGTTTATTGGTGGCATGTTTTAGATTGACCGTCCTTAGATTTCTTTCAACATTGTAAGGAGTAGTTGGGTAGATGTAACATATAACCCAGAAATAAGGGAAAATTCATATCAATGTCTTTATTAAACAGAACTGTTTGTCTAAATATTCCAAGTGAATAAGAAGTTGTGGTACTACATTGTATCGTGTTTATATGACTTTGTTCAAAATTGTATCAAAGTTATGACTGAGTCGTTCGAGTACTTAGTTTTCAACTTATGGGTCACATTTTAAAAACCCGCCTCACCTACCTCAATTTGTGTAGCCAAATCTTATCCCCAGCTCTCATGAAAAACGTAGATCAAAGTTTATTATTCTGTTCGTATTCTATGGAAAATTCTAATTTACCTGCAGTACATCACATAATATCTTATTCACAGATTTCTTTTGTTTTACAAACCAGATTTAAAAAACTTGCAATCCTAGATGAGTGATGCCAATCTAAAGCAGTTGGTTGGTGCAATCGAGTCGCATATCACAATCGTTACTTTTTTCTTCGAACACAAATTTCTTTCTATTTGACTCCACATTCATACATTTTCATTGAAGTCACTAACTACCGGGTCTAAAACTAGATATTGACATTTAGTGCATAACTAAATGCTAAATCGATTGAGCCTTCAGTACTCAGGTATTATAATATACCTTCGCCTTCAAATATAGCCTTTATTGATTTGTGAGAATTTTAATCATGATGCATCCATTCTATTAAGGTGAAACATTTTAGATGAACTGTACCTGGACCAAATATAGTTCTCCGGGAACTGCAACATAAATCCACCGTTTGAAATATTGTTTAGTGAAACGTTTTGTTGTACATGATATGGGTTGACGACTTTAAAAACAACAATATGCTGCGTATAATTTGAGCACTCGAACGCTAGAACCCTCCCAAGTTGCAAATGAGAAGACAGAAGACAAGTGAAAGGAATGCTATTCCAAACAGTCTCAATTATGGTACAAAGCTGTCAGATATTTATAGTTTTTAGTAAAAAAGAAATCATTTTAGTCCTCCAATCCGCATACAGGGGGTTATTAGCATCTGTCAAATAGGGAAGTTCCATGTAGTGATTCTGGAATATTCTCCCAAAAGATGACTAAATGAAATATCTTCGGCTCTTTCTGAGCTTCCTAGTGCTTCATCGAGTTCAACCGTGGATTGTCTTGACCAAAATGTAATTTCGACTAAATTGAGGTAAACTTATTAACACTAAAAAAGCTGAAATTGTTACCTTAGTTCGGGGAGTCGAATCAGGCTAATGAAGCTGTGAGAGGGTCTGTTTCAATCATAGACTTCACTATATACCATCTTTGTTTTTACTGTATTTGTTATGCTATTTTATTGTTCAAATTGTATTTATCTTTTGAATATAAAGGTATAGTGGAAATCGCAAAGCAAATGTTGCTGATGGCGATGCACTGTGGAAAGAATTTCGACATCAGCATGTTGCAGATGTCACGAGGTATGTTATTCCATTAGTTGCATTAATTTGAAATTCGGATTATTGATATAATCTGTATTGTGAATCAGCTACTATTGAACAGTCTCGACACAATCTACCCGATTAAAAACCGTTTAAGAATTTGTATTTACCAAAGGAATATTCTCAGCTCAATTGTTTTTATAGTTAGATTAGCCTAAACAGTAGATATATAGACAGGGGATCTAATTACTCATAATAGTTCGCGCTCACTTCCATTGAAATCATTATACAATCTTGTCTGGCTCATTTGGCATATCCATCATGAAGTAAACGCTAGTTGTTACATATCATCATTATTCTGTATCATTATACTAAAAGGTCTTCAAATCTAATCACGTTTTATCTACAAATGATCCCGTGATAAATTTAAATAAATCTAAAAAGACAACATTTGGAGAATAAATTCATTATGTTTCAAGGCTTCCCATTAGCTGCAAACGGAGTGAATTCCTATTATTCTGCAAATCTTATCCTATTCATTTTATTTTAACCGGTCACGTTTATCATGTGGGATCTGCTGCTTCGTCTTTAAATTAGGTATTACGCAATGATATTGCATTCTGCATAACATTTGTTCTTTGATTTTCACCAATTATATATTTTGAAAATCGATACTTTTTAAAAGAATTATAATCTTATTTAGTGAGTAACCAGAATGTTTTATTTGTGTTCAGCATTATTTTCACTTGTTTCCCATTATTGATATGGTCAGTCTCTGTTAATATATGATCTTCCGTTTAGTTATCTGTATTTTGTCATAAATTACATTCTTATACTATTTAGTAGTAACTGATAAGGCAATCAGTAATGGATGATTTTTTTACTACAAACAATAAATCAATGTATCTGTTCTCCTAATCAATCATGATGTATCATTTAAAACTTTTAATTGTTACTATCCTCAATACTTTTCAATTGTGAAATACATATTGTGTTGTTTCATTCAATTTATAGGGCACTTCCTCAACGTGTTCGTGAATTTGCTGAAAGTAAAAAACAATTTGTTGAATTCGAAGAAGCTAATTTGGATAATGTTCCATCAAAAGAAGATACAAATAAAAATACTGTCGATATAAGAGATTTATCTGATCTTATCAAACGTATGCCACAATATCAAACAGAATCGGCTAGTTATGCAGCTGCTTATCATATTGTTGAGACTTGTATGGCTACATTCAAAAAAGGTGTTGATAAACTATGTGAAATTGAACAAGTAATTTCACTTAAAAGAGAGTAGTTTTAGTATTGTGAATATTGTGATTTTTCCTTTTTGCTGGTTAGATGCGGCTAAAATCAAGCGAATTTATCATGACAGTATCATTAAAAATAACTATAGGACTCTCATTTGATGTCTAGAAATATCAGTATTTAGATTAGTTGAAGAGGGAAGGGTAGGGCGGCACTTGAGTGCACTAAATTGATTCTAACCAGTGGCTTTCTATAGTTTATGGGGAAAGATAGGATTATATTTATCATTAACACAGGTATGTTATTTAATTTGATAAATTGTTAGAAAATCCTTAACTCAATAATTGTTTGACCGTAGTTGAATGGAAATAAACTAAAAAAAGTCATGGAGTGTTATGACTATTTTCATTTTCTTTAAGAGATTTACTGGACAATATAATCTGGACACTTGAATCCATTATCAGAACTCAATCTCGTTTATCCAAATACGTAATGGAAGTGCGTAACGGTAAACAAAATCACCGAACTCGAAACTATTCAGTTCCAAGTTGTTTACTCAGCATCTGTCTTAGTAACATTCTGTAAAGAACTGTATTGGGAAGTTATCACAGTAAATTGTGTTAGTAAGCGATGAGGACTCTCTACACTTATCGCATAACTTTTTATACATGTATTTCGAGAAGTGAGTCTTACTTTCTGTGATCTTTTGTCGATTTCACCTACATATACGTTGGTTCAGTAAATCACGTAAGTAAAGTATTGCTGTTAATCGGTGACACCAAAAATATTTCGTCTAGGGTTTATTTTTTCCCAGAGATATCCTGTTTTAACTCCTGTAGATCTGTCAAGTCAGTGTGTTTGAAGTCAAAGTATATACAAATACAACCTGATTTTCATAAACTTAATTTGTTCCTAAAACTTAATGTTATTTTAACTAGTAGAGAAATATGTAGTTTAATTATTAGGGCAAAGGAAATAAAACATACACATACTGAATACTGATGGGGAATGAGACAAATGAACAATGTCTAAGTTATTTTTTGAATGAGATTACAATATTTATCGATTGATACTCACGCAAAGAGATACCAAACTGGTACGTGTTTAAAGCTTATTGTGATTTGCAATTTATTTAATTTTGGGCGTAACTCACATTATACACATGGAAAAACATTAAAGTTGTTTAATAAAGGATATTACTTCAAAAATAAACCGTGTATATTATTCCATTTTGGCATTGGTTATTTTAATATTCTCTACTTCTCACTCGCCTGTAAATATGATAAGAAGTTAGGATTTTGCTAGTAATAAATTTAGTGGTAAGTTTCACCAACGAGTAAACAAAACAAAAGTAATCTAAGTTAAAGGCCTCTAATATTATTGCTATGAGGTTGTCACATGAGAAACTGTACATTATTTCATTGACTGCAGTTTTAGAACATATTTGAAAAAGTGATTAAGGAAGTAATGTCTTTTTGGATTAATGTTAAACGTCTGGAAACGACATTTTTGCCAAGTAAAAGCAGTGTATCAAGACTACGAGGGAGTGTTTTGAAGTTTTCAGTACGGTCTCACTATCTTACGAAATATGAAATCACAATCATCTACTTATAGAATACGTAGAGCTATGACTTAGTAGCTAAAGCGTTTGACTTTCAGCCACTAAGTCCCAGATTTGAAGTCCACTTCACTCTATCTACTTCGATTTGAGCGACCAGGTACCATCGTAAGCTCTCAAACCTACACTGTCTCATACCCAACTATCTGATGAATGAATTAATAGGATAACAACATATAAATCATATTATGGTTCTCAGTCAACTGGTAATGAGAATACTAAGTTACATTAAGCGTTCTTATGCTTTTGAAATATAATGATAGATGAAAAAAACACGAAGAACTACTAATACACAATCGAGTCCTGGATTTATAAAGAACTACAAGTGATTATCTCCCAATAGAGATAACTGTAACTATGTATAGCGGTTTTTCCTTCTAGTTTCCACAAATACATTTTTCTTAATTTACCAAATGTCTACACCGCCTATGCCCATCGATTCCGAAGTCTTCTTATTCCCGTTTGAACATACAGGACATAAAATTCTTATTGCATATATATTACTGAGGGAAAAAAAGAAAGTAGATATTAGTGTAGTCACTATTTATTAGTGTACTTATGGTAATTCTCTGAATATTCTCTTTTAAAAGGATCTTGTGATGGGTGAGAATGCAAAAGGAGAACCTATAACGGATCCTATGCGTGTATTGGTTGATATTTTCAAATACGATTTTACAACAGTGGAAGAACGTTTACGTCTTTTACTTATATTTACTCTTATAAAAGGTAACATATATTCATTCTTTATCTTCTTCAAAACGGATTTATATAATCTCACTAATATTTGTTATTGCAATGTCCGTATCAATGAATTAACCTTTTTCCGCCTATTTTCATTTGGGATAATAAATGTTTTAAGGAACATAAAGAAATTATCGCTTCATTCAACCTTCAAATAAGTTAACTTGGTCCGGTATAATTTAGAGTGTGAAATCTGTCGATTAGCCATGTCTTAATCTAAGTAGATTTACATTCAATGAAGCTAATAGTTAATTTTCTGGAGCTATTATGTATTGAATGTTGTAATTTTATTATTTTTATTTGTTTTAGAATAATTCATTTGTTCTTCCATTGTACATTTATATGTCTTCAAAAAAATGTCTCTTAGTTATGTAACTTTCTTATCTTCAGTGAAACATTTATAAATGGTTTATTTGTTATGATCATACAGGTAGATAGTTTCAAATTATTTATTTCTGTGCATAAGTTGTAGATAATGTTACTAACTAGGATGTTATATATGATTACATCAGTGCATGAGTAGAAAGCGACAGAAAATAAAATAATTGAAAATAGTAATTTTCGTCAAGAATTAATTAGTCTAATGGAACAGATCCATTTCATGTAGTGCAAGAATAAAGTATGAAATCATTGAAGTATATTGAATACTTCATTCATTTAAACTGTGTTGCGGTATAGTAATATGCATTGACACACTTTCGAAATATATACATTTACACACATTCAACATACTTGAGAGTGTCACTATCATTGTGTACGGTAAATGGTATTTGATTAAATGGACAGATGTATGTTGTCGTATATTCTACTCAAAATGAAATCAATTAATTGATTTGTGGTGCACAGATTCTGTTTTGGCACTTTTATTTTTCTTAAAATAATGGTTATGAATCTGTTTTATGACACTGGTTATTCTTATTCAGTGATAAACAATAAATAGTTAACATTTCTTGTTGTTTGGCGGAGCAGTGGGTTAAGATGTTTAACTACTAAATTACAGGCTCAAACACTGTCTTACCTACTTCCGTTTGGGCATCCGAGTAATATCAATTGCTCCCATATTTGAAGTTTGTTTTGAATCTACATGAATGTGTACCTGTTATATGAGCATGAATCTTTATTATATGTTATATGTATGAACAAATTTTCTATCGTGAATTAGTTAGTCACTTAACTTATCATACGTTGTAATTGAACTTATTGATATATATATATATATATATATCGGCATAGTCGAAATTCCCATTTTGTCACTTAGCAAAATAAAGAACGATTAGAACAAAGAAATTTCTTTTCAATTACTTTTTCATCATGGCTCTATACTATATTGTGTTTATTTTACTATTTTTATGTTTATAAACAAATTCAGAGGGATTTGCAGAAACACACTTAGATAAATTGTTGGATTGTGCTCAAGTTGCACGTTCGTTCAAACCACTATTTGCAAGTCTTTCATTCATTATGAATGCTCAATTAATTCAATCTGATGTAAGTTGGTCTTTCACATTATTCTGTTTATCAATAATGATTCTTCAATGTATTATATTCTGTGATTCAATGAAAATAATGAAATTCCTTTTTTTAAAAAAAGGGATAACATATTAAATCAAGTTTTTGATTGAGATCATGAACCGATTGATGTCAGGACACCGTTGGAAACCTGGAAGCACTGGATGGCCGTTTCGTCTCATTGTAGGACTCCTCAGCAGTGCGCATTCACGATCCCGCTCACGGGATTCGAACCCAAGGCCTTCAGTCTCGCGCGCGAACGCTTAACCTACTGGACCACTGAGCCGGCGTCCAATCAAATTAAACTAAAAGAACATAAAACGGATGAATACAAATTATATTTGGGTTATTTAAACTTATACATTTGTAATCGAATGCAGAAGTATTCAAAACTATACGAATAAATATGGTAGTCAGTCATCTATGTATTATCTAATCATAAATTTAAGTACATTAACATGTGATGACGTCGACTCATCACACGTTTTATTTTTATCACATTCTCTATCAAGTGAAGATTATTCCAAATATATAGAGGTTGAATTCTATTGAAAGTTTCATATCTAAATATCAACAATTAGTTGCTAGCGTCTTGAATGAACATTTATGAATGTCAAACCAAATAAAAAAATGTCTATATAAAATTCTAGGAAATAGCTTTTGATGCGATGATAATGGTGAGTCGGTTGTACCAACCGATTATTCCTGATTCGTATCAAATCCACATGTAAATGTTGACACTGTTCTACGCAGAAATAGCCAATATTAATACAACAGTTGATAAAGATGTACAGTACTTGGTTAAACTACAGGTACGCATCTATAACGGTCTTATAAATACTGTGTGTATGCGGTCGGAAAAGTTCATACTAATCGATTTACGGTGAGATCATCAAGTTTTTATTTCCCGAAAAATTAGACCGTGCTTTTGATACCTCCACCGTTGTATCTCGGTTTATGTAACCGAGATCTATTTCACATCAACTCAAAGTAAATACGACTCACAGCCTAGCACAAAAAGACATGTATTGTAGTTGGTTTATGAAGTATCTAATCACATTTATCGGAAAATATTTGGTAATCTCCTTTAAAATTAATTCAATAGTATCATAATAACTCGATGATCAGCACAAAAAAATGAACAGTAAATAAATGTTAAGATACACGAAAGCTATTTTTAGTGCATACTATTTGATAGACTTTAATATTTATTAAGAAACAGAAGGAACAATTGATCATAGACATCAAACTACATTTTTGTTAGTGACAATATTAATTCTGCTTAATTTTTCTCTTTTATTTCGGCTACTTAAAAATAAGAGGTGATGGAATTAGAAGTTTAAGTGGTGTCATAGAAACATTTGTTTCTTTTGTTAAAAGAAATCATATTTACTTATTTCACACACTTTGATAAACAATACCTGCAATAGTTCATTCACTCTATATCATATGACTCGGATTTTCTCAAGTAAAATAATTCTGATTTCCTCATTTTACTTAATTTTACATCTATGTGTTTAAGTGAACTAAGGTCGTCGTTTATCAATGAAATAAACATTGTCCATTGTTAGGCTTCCCACTAGTGATGATACCATAAATTTGAGTCAATTATGATCTAGGAGACAGTTTGGTGCATTTTTTCCAGGTGATGCGTTTTCTTCAAAGGATACTGTTGTATTTTATTCATATCTTCAAAGCTAAGTATAGAAAATCTGTATTCCATACATAGTTGATCGTAATTGTAATCAACTCTTGATAGATCATAATTCATGCACATATTCATTTTAAAAACAACTTATCAAACCGTAACTGTTTCATGAACTTGGTTATCATGGTAGTGTAGTCAAGCTCTACCGGCAGTTGTTTCTCGAAGTCTTACCATACTAAACATTTCGATGGGTAGCTTAAGTAATTATGAGGTTAGGTGCGGAATACTAAGCGAAAATGACAAGCTGATGGACTAGGCTGTATAATTCTATCGTTCGACGCATTTGGCAAGGGTAATACAATTCACAGTCGAAGACTGCTCATACTTATATGGCAAGCCAATCAGAAGTGACCCAAAGGACAAGTTCATTTCATTAACTAAAAGGTGGATCAACTTCCTAAGGGTTGGAGTGGTATATATAAACACGTATTCATGCATTTCGTCCGGTAGTCCAATATACTTTGTTGCTCACTCTCATGTCCTCTCTCAAGTAGTCAGTTGGGGGCGTCAGTGCGTAGCACACAGTATATCAGTATTAGTTTTCGAACACCGCCCGTCACAACACATACAGTCTTAAATGGCATAATATTGGGTCAGAATTTAAGGAAGGCCGAGCCCAGATATGGCATCGGTTCATAAAGTCACCTACTTACGCCTGTTACTCCCAATAGAGCGTAGGCCGCCGACTAGCATTCTCCAGCCCACTCTGTCCTAGGCCTTCCTTTCTAGTTCTATCCAACTGTTGCTCATTATTCTCATGTATGTCTCCATTTCTCAGCGTAATGTGATTTTGGCCCTCATCTTTTCCTTTGACCTTGAGGATTCCAGGTGAGGGCTTGCCTTGTGACGCAGTTGGGTGCTTTCCTCAATGTGTGTCCTATCCACTTCCAGTGCTTCTTCCTGATTTCTCCCTCCGTTGGGATCTGGTTTGTTCTCTCCCACAGTAGCTTGTTTCCTATGGTGTCTGTCCAACTGATCCGAAGTATTTTTTCGTAGAAGACCGTTAATAAACACTTGTATCTTCTTCACTGACTACTGATATAAGCCGTATGTGGTATGTAAACTTCTTCGGTTGAAGCCCATACAATACTCTTAGTAGTGACAGTACATATTTGTACTGTGTTCTATGTTTTCTTTGAATAAGAGCCTAATATCTGTCTTCTAACTATCAAGCGTAAAAAATGTTTAATATATTCATCTCTTCTTTTGGGACCTAGTATTATTTACAATTAACTATTTTTTTGGTAATCGTCACTCATAACAAGCCTGTTGATAATTTTTCCTCATTACTTTTTATGAATGTGAATACCAGTCATTAGAGTGTTTTCTACCTGTAAATTCGAAATAATTGTTTTCAGTGACAGTGATTAAATTTTTAAAAAGATAACAGAATTTATGACAATACTTGACGACTGATCGATGTTATCTTTACGTGATCCACTTTTGCTTTTAATTTCATTCATCATTTCACACAATGATCGGTCAACCATGTAAAAGTATCTAATTGATTATTTTCGTCTTATTGGACAAGAAGCACTTTGGGGACTTGATATGAAATAGATACTAAGTTGATGAAACGGTTAACCGATAGTGTGCATTCTTCAATATCTTTTTCTTACCATTTGGTCTTCAGCTGATGTGTTCAATTGACCCGGCTTATCACATCTTCCGGAACAACCAATCTAAGGCATCAAAATCAACAATCAAACCTTAAAGAGATCATCAAAGGACATTGCCAACAACAACTCATACTGAATACGAGATGACTTATTTTTCAGGAAGGAAATGCGATAGACTGGGTCGGTCAAATATGTCAGCTGAAGACCAAATGATAAGAGAAAGATATTGAGGAATGCATGCTATTGGTCAAAGTTTGACTTGTTTACGCGTCTGACACAGACAGATCGCTGTTGGTGGAAGCATAGCTTGATTATCCAAGGGACACATCTGTATTTATAAATACGTTTGTTATAACAGATCACGTGAAATTGAGTTTGTTCACAATTACTTCAATCAAGTCATTTTATTAACTTATTAACGAACTGAGTCATCCTAACAACAACTTATCTATATGATTGTATCTTTATTACTATTGTGAATGTATGGACATGTATGCTTGAATATTGCTTGCGCCCCACGCATGTATTCACTATGCTAGCCTTACTACTAACCGCTTATTTGATTCGATGACTCATTCATTTCACTATGTATATATATGTCCATGTTATTCATACTCATTGCTCTCGTGCTCTAGCTCTCGCTCGCTTAATTGTACGCGCTTGCTCGTATTCATATTCGCTGACTCGCTCGCTTGCTTGCCTTTCAGCACAACTCTTCCATGCTTGTTTAACGCGTCTGTAATTTTGGATATATGTGTGTGGTCCCGTAATAAACGTAATCAACGCTTCGTACTCGCTTTCTGATTAATATACCGTTGGGGCGTTATATAGGACGGTTATCAAAACGAACTGTATACGAAGTTTATGGATTATATCGAGTACCGACTACCACATTGTGTAAATATGTCGATTCAGGTTTTCAAACACCTTCCTATTCATCTGTTGTTTTCTCACTCAAGTAGTTCATTAGTATCGCGTGTATTTGAGTAAGACAATCGAACAACTGTATAATACATACTCATAGATGACGTGTTTGTTCCTTTAATAGGTTACTCTGTTCATACACTCTTATGGATACAATGTGTCTCTACTTTATTTTTCCTTAAATAGCCCGTCACTATATCGTTGCCTAATCAGACAAATGTCCCACAATATCAATTGGGTAGATGCGTATCTCTTCTACGTTTACCACCAATTCCAAAAGTTAGCCAATTATTACAGACATACCTTCCAGTAAAAAAGAAACGTGTAGATCGTGTTAATGCTAGTTCATATGCATTATCACGATGGACACCGTATATTTTAGATATTATGGAAGTAAGTTCAAATATTTTGGTAGTTTTTTTTAATCTAATTTTTTTACTACTTACTATTCTATGTGAAAATAAAAAAAATGATCGACACTAAAACTACCAGTTATCGAATGCAATCTTTTTTCATTTGTAAATTAATTCATTTCATCTATTGAATTTCGACCAATAATATACTAAACAGTGTGCTAGTTATTGTATAGTATATTCAAAGAAAAGTAATTGAACGTAGTACAAGTCATCAATTGTGATATATAACGATTGAATAAGTGTTTCCACATTACTTATTATCAGATAGATATTATTTTTTGTTTACAAATAAACACTTCAAAAGTTTCTATATACCTGGATGCACCGGACGGCCACTTCGTCCTAGTATGATATGTTAAGCTGTGAAGTCATGTAAATTAGCTAAGGGAGTTTTACTATGTTAAAAGTTGACAGTCAGATTCCAATATTCATTTACATATAGATTTTAGTTATTGAACATTTCACTAAGCAGATTGTATGTACATTTAACAGTGAATAATTTATGGTACAGTGATTTAGAAGAGGTACTCAGCTAACAATTATTCGTTCTAGAATTCATTATCAAGTTGTCTAACAAAACAATAGGTGTTATTCATGGCCTCATACACAGTCAACTTTCCTATACCTATCTTACTTTTTTTCGTTAATTTTTGGTTTGATTCTGTTGAATATGACGAGGATTTTAGCTTTAGTCTTTCGTAACTGCTAAAATAGTTTGTGAATTTGGAGAAATTGTGTCAATTCTGATAGTGAAGTATTTTACTATTGATTTGGAATTAACCACTGTAATTAAACTCAGTAACCAAGTTACGGGTTTATTTACTCCTCTTTGAGTCCTACGTTTTATATGAGTAAGTATGGAGTGAGGTTCTAAGTCAAGTAGCTTAACTATACTAAGCTACCATGTGAGAATAATGACATTCACCATTAGCAGGTAAAGTTGTCATATTGTTACGTCTTTGATCTGTTTACCCACTGATATACAGTAGATAACTTACTCTGATTCGATAGGCTGACTGGTTTAACCTTGAGGCTACAATCACGTGAGTTCGAAGTAATACTAACCGCCTTGGGTAGAGAGACGGAAATCATTCTATTACCTGGTTGGTTGACAGGCGCGTGAGAGAGATAAGACTAGTCAAGTGGAACTCTACTCGATTGATTCCCGATTTCGATTCACACTCCGATCCAGATTAATTCTAAAAGATACATGAATAAATAGATGACCAACATGAGAACAACGTACAAACAATTAGGAAAATACAATTATGTAAGAAACCGGGAATTAGTGTAGAAAAATAGTAGCAAAGGCTACGTTTAAATTACAATAACTTTGGAACAAAAAGGTTTATGACAGTGAATGATACATCAAACGAAAGCCTATGGTTTGTAGTGTTACAAGCTTTGAATTAAGTGAAATAATGTCCCTAAAAATAGCTTCCTTTGTTATTCATGGTTCTTTTTGTTTCTCTGTTCACATTACATACGAATCTTTGTTTTTGGGCCGTTAGGAAAATTTCTTTTCCTTGCTTATATTTTAGCAGAGTGTCAGATAGACCATCATATGTTTGTTTATTTTAATGTCATAATTATATCTTCTAAGGAATTACCAGATTTATTCACTTATTATATTTGGATAAGGAACTAAACAAAATATTGAAGGTTTTCGATGAACTATGTTGTTACTTTTATTCCGTTACTCTTAGCAAGCTATTTCGGGTAAGCTGGACAAATCACGTTTTGGATTCGTTGTAGCAAAAGGTATTAAAGATGTGTTTGGTCTCGGTAATGCAGTGGATACTAGTTCTAAGGATTTTAAAAAGCCTTCCGCACGATTTCATGCCAGTGGTGTTTTGTCTGCAGGTCCTTCAGCATCTGTTAGGTCATCTAGCCCAAATCCTGGTTCGGATCGGAATACAGCTGCTTCTTCTATGACTGAACACTGTGGTCCTCGCCTTATAGTCTTTGTTGTTGGAGGTTTCACGTTATCAGAAGCCAGAGTGGGTTACCAGTTAACGCAAAGAGTAAGCTTCTTTTATCGAAATTGAAACAACATCTTTATCGCTTATGATAACAATGTGTTTTTCTAAAGGAAGTATTACAATTTTAACTTTTATAAATTTCAAAGAAACAATAGAGTTCGACGAATTCTTATTAACCTCAAATTCTTGATCCACTTTAGAAGTAAAAAATGCACATGGAATAGTTCATATCTGAATCTTAATGGCTTTTTCTTAATCACCTAAAGAACGAGTGATCCAGAATTTATTTGACCAAGTGGGAAGGTTATATACTACATAATGACTGGTACAAGAATTGATAAATGCCTTTAAAATAGTGAATATCCATAAAAATCCATTGATAAACATGTTTGAAAGACAGGGATTATCGACAGAAAGCTTTACGAATTACTAACTTTCAGCATTCATCAGTTATTAGACATTAAGCTATTACCTCTGACTCAATCTTTTTATGTAAACTGTTATTTATCAAAATTACAGGTCCATATATACTCTTTCCTATGTTACTATCAAATATATGTATCATTTTATGTTTATCTGGTAGATCAGTTATAACACAAAGGAGAGGTTACCCTATAGTATGCTCATCAGTAGACTATTGATAATCCCAAAAATTAAAAGCTGTTATGTTAACGGGGTATGAACTGGACCATAGTGATACCAATAATGTGTAGTTGAGCATCAAAAAGCTAATGTAAGACAAGGTTATATAACAGAAAAGAATGGTTTCTAATAGTTGCATCTTAAGTTGGATTGGATTTCAGTGACCTACAAAATCTGTATCTTCTAATCCCTTGTGTTCGATATTTTGTATATGAACATGTTATTTTTTTATAGAGAAAAGTCAATTATCTTGTCCTTGTTATCAGCTTGCATCAATAAACCGTCCTTATGAGCAACTATCAAACCGAACACATCGTTATGATTAGGTTTATCCATCGGTATGCACTCTATTCATTTATATTAAAAGCGATTAAACCGCACATCATTCATCAATAAGGTATTACAAATTTCGAAAGTTGAGTAGTACACGGATCTGACGATAGTGCGATCCATCCCGAGTTATTTCACTAAATCTTCAACCGTTTTCTGTTATCTCCCTATCAAAATTCCAAAACATACTTTCTTACACCAAGTGAATTGTAATAAATGATGCAATTAGTTTTCTGTTCTAAATATTTTATCTAATATAGCCTCCCATTCTCCTTGATATTTTTAGTGTAAATAAAGTGATTGTTCAATGTATTTGTTTTCGTATTACTGTCCAGTCTTGTTTAAATAAATGTGGAGTGTTTAAGGTTTCAATGTTATATCTCATTCAAAACTGTTGGTCACTTTCAACAATGGCTTATGAATTTTATGTCAATTTGAGATGGATTACTTTTTAACTAATAATAATAAGAAGAAGAAAGTTAATCATTTTTAACTTATTTTGTTAGTGTAAGGAAACCCGTCTTGCAGCTAGTGATAAGAATACAAATAAAATAAATACACCTACAACAGAAAATATTTCAACAATCCCCGGTGGAGGAGTTGGTTGGAACTGGGAAGTTGTACTGGGTGGTACACACTTGTTGACACCAAAAATATTTCTGGATAATCTTGAAGGCATTGCAAAAATCATAATGCCACCAGTTTCAAGTACACCAATACCTGAATCAGTACTTCGTCGTGTCTCAATTATGAATCCTTTTCGAGGGTGAATTATTGTAGCCATTATTTAGTCCATAACAATTGGATTTGGGCTATTCTCGACTACGCCACGATTGACATGTCATTATCAGTTATAATTATTTGCAATAAGTCTGTAATTTTTTTTTATTACCGAGACTACATTCCATTATATCTATTTTTGCTTATCAACTGTGATTTTCTTCTACTGTAGAAGACTATTATTTGTTATTAATCTTTTCTGTGTTAACATATCTCAGTGAGAAAGCTGTCCATGTCATTTGTAATCTTTTTTTTTCCAAAAAAATGGAAAAACTATTTGTTTTTTTTTCTAAATTTGATTTTTGAAACCCCTGAAAGAAAGATGTCCATGTGCAAACATTCACTAGCTTGATATAATGATGTTCGTTTTTACTGAATCTATTTTTTTCTATTGTAACTTGGTGTGTATGTGTGAATGACCAGAAATATTGCCTTAAATTACATTGTGATACATTGATTTTATTAGACGAGAACTTGTTTGTTATTTTACTGGGAACTCACCGGTTAGAAGCTTTTGTTGATTTGATAAGTGTATCTCAAGTCACCTCGAAACACTGAAGAATTCCTCCTTGAAATGTTACTTCCTGTATTACAAGCAATATTTATACGAATGGGTCATGAAAATAAACAACAATAAGACTTTATTACTAGTAAGAGAATAAGTATGAAAACACGTAATTCGTTATTGTTTATCTTACCGATGTTTACAAAGTGATCAAAGGAGATCATATATATCTGGCACTTATTAAGGAATATATGACTACCCCTTGAAATCCATACATAACATAGGTTTTATGTAAAACAACACCGCACTTTCATTTAGTATCTGTTAGTTCCTCGTTATCTTGTGTCAAATCTTCCCTTCATTGTGAACACCTGTATGATACTATTAATTCTCGGCAATATTTCCCTCTGTTACATTTGTTCAGCCTTTTTTTGAATTTAGTATGTCCATGCGAAAAGAAGCAACGGAAAACACTACCTTCGGATATACAGTCGGTAACTGTTGATTAATTCTTTTTGAAACTGTTTTTGTCACTCCAGCTTATAAGTGCCATGTACCAAATTTAACTTTCGGTAATTGTCTGAAATTATAATAACATCAATTCTCCAATTCATTCTTATTACGAGATTCTGGTAGGTTTGACTAGTCTCTTGCTACCTTTTAACTATTTACGTAGAAACCAGAAGTGGTTTATGTTTCAAAGGTGCTTAATATTCTTTAATGCTTACTTACTGATAGTCTAAATGCAAGATTTTAATTAGGCATAAAATTCTTAGTTGCGGAGTTCGTAACTAAATGTGTGAGGAAGCAGCAGTTCCTGATAATTTAACTCTACAGGTTTTCACGTTGTTATTCAGGCTTATCAATCAAATTGATCGAGTCGGCCAGTCATAAACAACGTAGAGCCTGGTGCATATATGCCTTTATCCAAGTTGCCGAACCGCTTCGGGATAGCGAGATGATATCAAAACGAGCACCAGAAATGTAATACCTATGATACAGAAGGTAAAGTCATAAGGGATATAATTCAAGAATAAGTGACTCACGAGATGATGTTCTGAAACAGGGTATAGAGAACAAAGAGTGGATGTATCTGCACCACTGAGACGCAGTCATGCCACCCAATGTATTTAATTATTTACCACACTAATTGTGTAGATCCCAGCCAGGTGATCTGAATCAACAGTGGATGACTTCATGAACTGATATGTCCTTGTTTGACCGACCTCAGCTTACTTTCAACCCACGTCGAAATAAGCACTGACTGAATGTAGCCAATACATGTCAAAACTTCTTAATTGATGGAGATTCACAGTTGACAGATCTACCAACTTTTCCTAGTGCACTGCGTATAACTTTAACACTGCTCACGCGGTGCTACCAACATTGACAGAGTTCGGTAATTAGATGTAGTCTTATATTGCCAGTCACTATTTTACGAGTACGGAAATTTGATTATCATGGTCTAGTTTTGACTTTTGGTTTGTGAAGTTTCAGCATTCATAATCATGAAATGCACGAGTTACATTATTTTTCTAAGATTATTTCATTCGAATGTGACTGACCTAGTCAATGCAGAGATGTCACATTTTTCGGTCAGAACTACCCACTTTACAGATACGTACTTTCTCGCAGATAAGCTAAGAGGTGACATGTCCCTCGTTTGAGTTTCAAGTAGCCGGTCTTCCCAAAAAGGGTTGATGTAAATGTTTGGTACATTTCTCTATGATGCAAAATGCTGCTCCAGAAACGGCTTAAACGAATGTCCTGGAGAACTGAAGAGAATAAATTAGATGAGTTTATTAACCACTTTATTTATCTTAGAAGTTTTATCACCGTTGCTGATTGAATCTAAGTGAAAATACACAGGTTTCTCACACCTTGTACCTCATGGTGTTCGAATGGTACGAACGTTTACATCCCAAATGGCGAAGGTAGCAATTCATTCCGGACCGCTTTGCCGCAATTGCGGTAGAAAGTATGTAAGCATAGATGTTCCTGAAGTATTAGTAGCACGTGAATAAGACTACTAAGTTAGTAATGTTCCATTTGATCACGGGAAGTTGGCAGGGTTCTTGATATCCATCGACTGTAGTAGTTTAGACGTTACGTAAGTTCAGCCATAGACTAACTCGACGCACTACGCTGGGACCGTGAACAAAAACAAGGCATCGTTTTGTGAAGACATCAACTTCCAGTCTGAGTCATGTTGGATGCAGTTCTTCCAGGTTGATGTCGTCAGAGACACTAATTATACATAGAGTTGGGTACAATATTTTTCTTATTGTTAAAATCCATTTATTCCCTATAAATCGTATCTCTTGTCTAAATTTTTACTCCAATTGACATTTTTTCTCCTTTGCTGTTCATCTCGCCAATCTTTACTTCCACTGTGCTGTTGTGAAATGTGGGTCAAAATGTCCTGATGAACGTAATTTTTTAGATTATTTTAAAATGAATAAACATTTCGGATACTAGTTAATCTGACTGTACTAGATATGGTAGATATTACAGTGTACTCGAATGCTTAAGTATAATCAATAAGAAATAGCCGTGATTCATATTCATTAAAGTACAATCCGCCTCAGAGATTTATATGTTAGTAATGAGAAGACCAAACGTATTACTAAATTTATTTATTATTAATGGCTTTATTCAATATTATATTTTGGTACAATATAGAATTCTCAGCATATATATGATTAGATGTAGTAAAATGAAGTATCCTTTAGTTTTACCCCAATAAAACAAAACATTTAGAGAAGTTTATTTCCTAATAAACCAAAAATTTAGTTATTTACATTGAATGATAAAGTAACGAAAATAATACAAATGGGTATATATTCGATCATGGAACTGTACAATAATCTCAGACACTATACTATCTGTGGTTAAGAAGTACAGAAAGAAGATCTTCTTGTTTCTTTTGAGTGGCGCGTGGAAGTATTGCAGTTCTAAAAAGTTAATGCATTATACTTAGTAACTTACAGTGAACGCTGAGTATCCGCACTAAGTCTTTTAACTTTTTTGTTCTGAATAAGTAAATTAAGGAAAATAAGATAATAGCTTACATTGTTAGCGAGAGGTTTGTTAGAAGTTATGGCTTCATGAGAATCGAAATTATCAGGAGTTCCTTTTGCGGTCAAAAACTTTGGGATATCTTTAGTTCGAATTTCACCAAAATCTAAACTGAAGTAAAATAACATAAAACGAGATTTTGTGAACAATACACTTCGCGATTGTTTACGTCTGTTGCTGGTGGTTTTGCTTGATGATTTAATGAAGACGGTAGTGTAACATCAGATGGTAACTAAGATATCAATTAAATATAATTAAATAATCTACCCAAGTCTTTGTATCTGTTAAAGATCTTCGAACTGCAAAGAGGTTACCATAACAACAGTTAACTTCATCTAGAGAATTAAGAGATTGAACTCTACCCATATTGATGCCAGTTTTTAACTTACCTTAAACCTGAAAGTACTGTCATTATTAATAAGAGGACTTTGGTAAAGTGTCCGGTAGTAAACTGTGCTTCACACGACCTACATAATTTTCGTAAATGTCTAATACAAATTACCTCCAGCAGGAATTCAAACGAAGTAGCAATATTTCTATTTTTTTGTACAATTGAATTAGGCATACTAGTGTATGATCCAAAGTATGTCCACTCACACAATGTTCACTTTTACATTTTAAGGACATAGTACAAAAATTTGAAATCCCATTTAGGATAGGACCATCACAAAGTTGTGCTAGACTGCGTCGAACCTGTAAAAGATCTACAATTTCAAAGAGGATCTACAGAAGAGAATGATTTGAAAAAAAGAAACTTGTGTAGTTGGTTTTTGAATCGAATGTATATCATATGGGATATAAGTATATCTTTATTCCGATAACTCCAAGTTCTTCGCAACTTCCCTAAACAGGAAACTTGATTTTTGGAGTAATCTACGGGGTTTGTTTGAAGTTAAGATTACACATACTAGAAATTTGGCCAGTGCATGATATATATAACTTTGGCGGAATGAAGTTAATGTTTAAACTTTCAGCCATACTATGACCTGTAACAAAAGAGGAGACAACATACGTTTATGGGAAATAAAATCAACGTAGAAATCAATGAAAAGAAGAACTCTCACGAACATATGTCGAATTTGTACTTTAAAAACGTTTTTAGGCAAACACTGTCCTTATTATGCCAGTTAATTGAAGTGTCGACATTTAGCTGGAAAGCCATCGTATTGTCGATATTTAATGACTATATCAAACATATATAATTAAAAATACAGCAAACTACAATCGTGTAAGTTTGCTTTCTGCTTACTCTGTATTATAAACAAACTAATAAGTTATCGACATTTATACGACGGTTTTAACTGTTAGGAAACATAACTAATGGAAAAAGCCCTCGTAGAGTGAATGGATTGAATTGTTGCCGTTCCTCCATTTGTATTAAACAATAATATATGGGAAGTTCCTGTGGATGAAAACTGGCAGATATATTTTGTAAAAATGATTTTAGTACATTTCACATGACATTTCAGACTCCGTTTCATAAAACATTGTTAGAACTATATTTTATGGACAAAATAATCAGATATATCCAGTCCCGGATAATGACCCGTTAGGAAGCTAAAGCTCATAGTTTTTAGTTTCCATTATAGGATTGTCTTAGACTTATGATTGTCGTTTGTAGCTGTTATTTATTGCTTTTATTCTCAAATGTAAGTCCAACTTATGTGCTTACTGACTAATAGGCTTACTTTCCTCCTATTTTGGCCTGTTTCAGATTTCTTCCTATACTGCCCCTCATAACTACTCAGCACAAAAGCCATATCTAAGTAAAAGTCAAACCTATCAAACGCTGGTTATTACAAAATGGTTAACTATTATTTTGGGACTATAGTATGGAATGGAAACATGAAGTCCGGTCCGTAACCGTAAATTCTAACACAAGCTACTGGGACTTATCTGTCACAATAACTCAGATTGGCATTTCGATACTAGTAAGAGGTCGAAGCGAAACCATTAGAGCATTACTCTAAGGTCGTACATGACATAGAGTCCCGTTCTGTTTTGAATTATTTTAATGCTCAAAATCTTATAGCGGAAACTTTTTTGAGAATTTATGTATATATATATGCTAAAACCTTGATTCTGGAACGTTCAAACTTTAAAAGTCTTGGGTCTAGCCTACAAAGATTTTGTGTTGGTGAAGTGTTGAAAGTTTGAATGATAGAATGAACAGACAAATCAGTAAGTGCATGAGTTATTTTTAAGTCCGTTAAGAAAGTATTCGAAAATAATTTAATGAACACGATCGTGAGGATACGACAATCTGATAATCAGTACCACGAGTTACTAGAGTAATGTTTCAAGTCTGCTAAAACTCGTTTTATATGACGCTTCAGGACCACAGTGAATCGACTGAATATATGAAAATTTAAAAACACACCAAGTGGTAACCTGTATTTTAAACCTGAATCTTAATAATTTACCATAGCCGATATAGAACAACGTGACTAGTGACGTCAGTAACAAAATGAGCGGTCACTTAATAACCTTGTTAAATGGTTCAAAATGGTTCAAATGGTTGTGGACGGAATAGAAGAAGCTTTCGCTTAACAGGCTTCCGTGTCTAGTAGCAGGGGATCACCAAATCCTCCAGGCAGGAACCTAGGTATGGTAACAATAAAAGAGGAAAAGAAATTGTACCCTCATTTTTCTTGTCTTCCAAAAGAGAGAATTTACAAGGACACTCCAAGAAAGTTCACAAGCCGAGAACAAATTACTTGTCAGCTGACTACGACTTTCCCATCGAATCATCAACGAGGAAAGACCACCATTGCCAGGACTAACATAGGCCATCGAGCCTCCTGTCCTTCCCAAACTGAAACTGAAACTGATTGGTAAATCATAGTGCGATGCTGTCCTTCGTCCTTAAGAATAGGTCAAGTTGCCTCTTGAAGGACTCCTGAGAAGTCGCTTGGACTAGCTCGGCCGGCAGCGAGTTGTATACTCTAATGGGTAAAGGTCTAGTGAATGGAGGCGTTCTTCGTAAGGTTTAGATTTGAGTCCTCGAACTGATTTCGTGGCTCGCGTTGGATACCCCCCAGTGAAGGTGCTCGGAGGCGTTAGATGGACTACTTTACACTTTGAAGTGTTAAAGGTAAGTCCGTTTTCGTCTGCCCAACTTTGAAGTCGAGTCAGATCCCCCTGAAGTGCCTGTATATCGTCTTGGTTGCGTATCTCTCTCCAAAGTTTCACGTCGTCGGCAAAAAGTAATAAGTCTGACGTTACCTGTTGAGGAAGATCATTTATGTAGATCAAGAAGAGAAGAGGCCCTAGTACTGAGCCCTGGGGGACTCCACTAGGACATTCCATAGCCTGAGATAAAGTAAAATTAACCCTAACCTTAAAGTGTCGATTTTTTAGGTATGAAGTAAGCCAATCGATTAGAGGTGGTTTGATACCTAGTCGTTTGAGCAAACCTTTTCCTTGCGATTGAGGATGCTTGTCCATCTGTCCACCGCAGTCAGCAGGTTGATTATACAAGAGTAACCCTTCCTGAAACCATGCTGTTGGGGTGAGAAGAAATTTAAGGACAGTAGATAGTCGTTTAAACCGTCGCATATCAAGGACTCCATGAGTTTTGAGGGTAATAACAGAAGAGTCACCGGCCGATAACTTGAAGGTTCATTGCGTCGACCTCCTTTGAAAATTGGTGTGATGTGAGCCAACTTCCAATTTTCCGGTAATTTGCCTCGGCTTAGCGAGTGTGAAAACATCACGCTAAGCGCCTCCCTCAGTATGGCAGGATGAACCATATCCGGGCCAGGAGAAGTATCTAATCTTAAGTGCTGCAATTTCCGGAACACCAAGTCAGCGCTTAGGTCTACTTCGGAAAGTCCTGTGGAATTGCAGATGAAACTGTCGTCAGTAAAGTTGATGTCAGCCGAGAAGGATAGCGGAATAGGCTTCTAGGGTTAGAGGCAAATTTGTCCATAAGCTTTATCTGGTACTGAAGCCTGTCTTCTCTTATAGCCTTCGTGCATGTGTTCCTTATATGTTTATATTGCCTATACGCTCCGTCGTTATCAGTTCGTTTGTATTCTGCCCAACAGTGTCTTTTGCAGCTTAGCAGGCTAAGGGTACGGTTCTTGATTACTGTAGGAGGCTTGAAGCTTTTGTGAACCGTTTGAGGAACTGATGGTTTGTAGGAGGTGGTAGGCCCTGTCCTTTACATGTTTTTTTATCATTTAGACAGTCCACAAGTGGAATGGTCAGCTCTAACTTGCTTTTGTGTTTGGTCCTAGCTTCAATTTCCATCCTTGATGTCGAATTTGATTGAGTGGGTGCATTTTCCGGTATCCTTGACAATTATTCTTCCGCGGAAAAATTTCGTTGTTCAATTCACCCCAGAGCATCCTGTCGTTTTTGTCCTGCAGACTGAGAGGAAGATCAGGATTGTCAACGAGTTCTGATAATGAGAGAACGTCACTGCGACCAAATCCCCACTTATTTTCCGTGCGGCAACACTTGGGTTGCTCGGCTTAGGCGATGATGCCTGGTTCTTTTGGGCTCTCTTAACGTGGGTCCCCACTTTTGGTCTGACTTGCCGAGTCTGTTGTAAGCAGTTGCTGTCAGATCTGTGCATGCTTCGTGGAACCAACCTTTGCAGTTGTCGCACTGCATGCCAGTTGTAACAGCAAAAGATTCTTTAGAACTGAAATGGTACTTTTGTTGCGCAATAACACAGCAAAAGTTTGATATATGCAAATCACGTTAGGACTAAACTTCCCGTTCGAAAAGCGCGTTAGTAGGTCATTCAAACCGAATGAATTATTTGTGGTTGTTTCTCGCTATTTTGATGCGGCTTCAGGTCCTCAATATTATTCAGTGGTTCAAGTATCGAAACAGTACACTGTTTTGGTCGTTATTTGTGGGTGATGTTTTGTAATTGGGTGCGTTTATCTGAAAGTACTAGGGCATTAAGGGCATTACATATTTTCACAGCGTTACATTTGTGTTACTGCATACTGTCAAATCACTAACATTTTGCATCATAGCTCAGAAATTAGCCGAAAAGTTCGAATGTTGATATTCTAATTGGTTATTCACATTCAAAATATCGAAAAGTAACGTTTCGATGTTTGTTTATTCGTTATTTGATGAAAAGCTCGTGAGTGGATTTTTCGACGAATAAGCCTAAATACAATCTTGTTAGTAAAATTAAGGTTAGATCAAATCAATTTTTTGGAATTATAAAAGTAATTTCCTCATTTAAAAATATTATAGTTATAAGAACAGTTAGTGTCAATCAGTCATTTCGGAGATAGAGAATGCTATATTTTGTGGTTGTCTGTGAAAAACGATGTGTTGCGGAGTGAACTTGAAATTTTATGTAGGTTTTACATTTTAAATTACTTCAGTTACCAAATAGACGGTGTTCACCAAGATTAATAACAAGCCCGTTACGCAAATAGATCGTTAAATGCAAGCGCAATGTTTCCAAAAGAATGTTTCCAGTGAATACGCGTGTATCTAAAAGTTGTTTATACTTATTTAAATAATGACTAGTTTGATTTCTGTAAGCTATTCAATGGAGGATATTCTAACTTGTATCTCCCCACCGAACGTTGAGTAAGTATTCATTTGTACATTGTATTATTCAGATTTACCCAGAACGTTTTTTTGTATTTACAACACACGCGTTACAGTAACATTTTTGAAAGGTATTATCAACAAGTTTTGTCAACAGTATCTCGCTTGTTGTAATGGAATGCATACGAATATAATATCTGTTTTTAACCATTTCTGTGGTCATGAACGACAGTTCTAAGATCGCCAGAATACGCATAGGGCGTAGATTCTTGATTTTTTGGATTCTCACTTCACAGAACTGAACATCCAGATGTAACGAAGGAAGGTCGCACCAGAAGATGAAATGCTCTATGATCACTTTGTTGGTCGCAGATACTGTTCGTTACAATGAGTGAATTAAACTCCCAGAAATCAATGAAATATGATCTTCATAATTCACCGACGTCATTAGTGTTTAATTTTTTTTAACTCAAGAAGCTACTCACCAATCATGCCATGAAACAAAAGACAAAGTCGGTATTTGCAACTATCGATTTTACAAAATAATATTTTTTAATGAATACACAACTCTTGGTCTTTCTACAAGTTCTTTGCATTAAGTTTTGTTTCTGAATCGTCACCAATCAAGCAAACCATAGTACTTTTAACTTATCTATTACCTATATGATTGGTTCACGTTCTAATTTAATTATAATTCTTTCAGGATATAATAAATCACAATGAACAAGTCATAAAGTCTTCAACCACTATATGTTTGAAACAAAATGGGAGTTCTGTTGACTGGATATATTGCCGACATGTCAGTAGGATTGTTAACCACATTTGAGTTTCTTAATGTAGACAGTATACAGAAATGGCATCGAACATTGAAAGCATTTAAAAAGGCAGCGCGTTTATTGAGTCTGTGAGATTTATCACACCTTATAATCCATTCGTTTTTATCAAAAATTTTCCTTCAGTAGTTTCGAATGAATGTTGATCGAAAATAGACAGACACCCTGATTTATGCTTCCCTGTTGATTTACAATGTTTTTGTGAAAAAAATGATTGGCGCAATCCGAGTTTTCTATTTCTTAGCACACTACTCAACAGCCTTGTGTAGCTTGAATTTCACGTGAATCATTATTGCTACCTTTTATATGTCTGTTTAATAACCAAATGGTCCAAGTTCGGCTGCTTTTGTAAGTCCGAGAAACATATGAACGGAAAACTTTACAGTAGCGTCGATATTCCAAGGTTGTGAGTCCATTAAAACAAATGTGGTCTGCATCCAATGCTGAAAACTTACAGAGCTATTTATTTTGAGGATTTATTTACCGCTACAGCTCTCCAGGCCAAGCCAATGGCTCTAACCGATGTCGGATACGAGATACAATCATCTTTTTTTGTCGTTTGCAAGCAGATGGCTTTTGCAAGAGCTTTGTTTTAGGGCGGCCTCTCCCTCGGTATTAATTAAAATAAGAATCTATTTGTCAAAGCGGTTCACTGTGCTTGTCGAGATACTAGCGTTTCGTATTTCGGTTAAGTGCTTAGTGATGCATACGTTTCTTCGAGATATTTTCAAGTAAGACTTCAGATTTCGACGAGCCCTTGGTTAACTATTAGGACTTTGGACTTGATAGTTTCAAAACTTGTGAAAACGCTGTTATTGTGCATGTATTTATACATACTTGAAATAGAGTTATAAGATATTTCAAATGGATGAGTGAGTGCATAAGATTCGAGATTTCGCAAAAAAGTTAGTAAACACAAACTTCTTGGCGATAAAACCTTAAAGACACTCTAAATTTCACCTGTACTTCTGGCCGTTCTAGCGAGAAACCTCAAGTTAATCCGAAAATGCTCTTTTAAATAACTAGATATGTAGTTGATCCATATAATTTAGATAGCTAGACTT